TAGTCCCTGCTAACCAACAGTAATAAAAGTATGAAGACCACCCTAAACCTTAAACCCTAAACCCTGAACGCTAAACAGAAGAGGTGCTGGTGCCAGTTCTCCTGCGGGATCTGATCCAAAGTTGGCATGGCCAGCGCCTCATCAGGACAGTATCCGACGGTCTGCAAAGCGACCCTGGACCCGCAAAAACTCCCTACACCCTGAACCCTGAACCCCAAACCCCAAACCCTAAACCCTAGAAACCCCCCCGCCCCCCCACCCTAAAATCCTTAAACCCTAAACCCCAAACCCTATGCCCTAAACCTTAGAAAAAGGCCCTCACCCTTAAGACCCAAACCCTTAAAAAAAAAACTTAGCCTGAAAAGCCTGAACCCTAAAGCAACCCTCAGCCTGAAAAAACCCTAAAGCCTAAAGAAAACTCGAAGCCTAAAAGCTCTAAAGCCTAGGAGAAACCCTAACCCCAAAAGTTCTAAAGCCAAACAAAAACTCTAACCCCAAAAGCCCTAAAGCCTATGCGCCCTGAATACCCTGGACCCTAAACCCTAGCCTAGAAAACCCCCTAACCCTAAAAACCGTTTTGGATTCAGGATTTGGGGTTTGGGGTTTGGGGCTTATAGGGTTAGGTTTAGGGCTGAAAGCTGTATCTACCGACTCAGCCCCACAAGCACGAAAAGATTGTTCCACGCTACAACAAAGCACAGCGCCAAGAAACGCTGTGTGGAAGATCTGTCCAAATCCTAGCATTCGTATGCAACAAAGGTCAGGGGAACCAACCCTAAAACCCTGTTACCTACAAGCCCAGTGAAAACAAAGAATAATAATCCCCATATGTATATAAATATCTATATATATACGTATATATATATATATATATATATATATATATAGCCCTAGTAAGGAAGAATATTTTTGGGTGGTTCCTACAAGCCCAAGAACGAACGAATGTGAGACAATGTGAGTTACCTGCGCGCACACGCTCAACAAAAAGACAAGAGATGCGAACGCGCGATGAAACACGCAGCTGGAAGAAGCGCAAGCGCGCGGCAAAACTGTCAACCCCCCAAATCCCCCTGCCAAAAACTAAGCCCTATCAGCCTAGATTCGACCTATCAACCCATTAACACTAGCATTGGGGAGCGGGTTTAGGGTTGAGGGTTGAGGGTGTAGATCTTGATCTTGTGGTCACGCCAACCTGTGCCTACTTCAGGGGTTGAGGGTGTAGGGTTTTGGGTTTAGGGCTCAGGGTTTGTTGCTAACGAGGTTTATGTCCCCCCCCTCCCCCGCCACAAGCCCTGAGCCTTCGGATTCACGACCACGCGGTGCAAAATGTGCTGCAGCCAGTGCTTGTTGGGAATGACGTGGGCCTCTGGTACCCTACACCCTGAACCCGGAACCCTAAACCCTAAACCCTCCATGACGGTCCGTTTGGGAGATCAATCCCGGTCAGGAAAGTTACCGGAAAGGAGACCTCGGTTTAGGGTTTAGGGTTCTCCGGGCATTTTCAGGCCTAATTCCTCATCCCGAAACCCCAGGCCCTCCCCCCCACGAAAATTAAGCCTCCCAGTCGTCTAGAATTTAGGGATCGAGGTTGAGCGCCCCAGACCCCCATGACCCCCAAACGCTGTACAGGGTTTCGGGCCTTGGGGCTTTGAGGGTTTAGGGTTTCAGGGTTTTGGGTTTCGAGCCCTAAACCCTAAACCCTAAACCCTAAAGGCCTCCAAGAAGACGATCACAGGCGCAGTCGCCATCTCCACCCCCTTCATCTTGGCAAGCATGAGCCCCTGCCTGCAGGGTTTAGGGCTTACAGGGTACAGGGTACAGGGTACAGGGTTTAGGGTTTAGGGTTCAGGGCTTGCAGGGTTTGCAGGGTTTGCAGGGTTTAGGGTTGCTTCGCAGGTTGGACACTAAGTCGGGTCACGAGGTGTTTCCATTGTTGTTCCTTACTGTGTCCTCGCCCATGGCTTGGGGTTCAGGATTTACCCTACACCCTAAACCTTAACGGGATCAGTTTCAGGGCTGGCCCCGAACACCTTGAACTCTAAGCCCCAACTAAACCCAAAACCCTGAAAACCCTAAACCGCAAAACCGTAAAACCGTAAAACCCTGCAACCCTAAACCCTAAACCCTCCCTAAACCCTAGCCCTGAACCCTAAACCCTAAAACCTAAACCCTGAACCCGGAGACTCTTGCCTTTCGGGAAAGGCGAAGACGCGGACCTTGCTAGACAAGGCCTTCAGCTCCTTCTCCTTCCTGAGCTTGCTTGAGGGTTCAGGGTTCAGGGTTCAGGGTTCAGGGTTCAGGGTTCAGGGTTGAGGGTTTAGGGTTTAGGGTTTAGGGTTCAGGGTCTAGGGTTTAGGGTTCGGGGTTTAGGATTTAGGGTTTAGGATAGCCATCAATAATTGGGAGGAGTGAGTGCTTGATGCCCACAGGGGCATATAGGGTTTGGGGGCTTGTTTCATATGGATGACCAGGGAACCCTAAAGCCTAAAGCCGTAAAGCCTAAACCCTAAACCCTAAAGCCTAAACCCTAAACCGTAAACCCTAAACCCTAAAACAGGACGGGGAAGAATGCCTCTAGCGGCGGAAGCTTTAAGCCATGATGGTACCACAACGTGGGCTTCAGGTTGGGATGTTCCCCCTTATACTAACAGTCCTTAAAAAGGGACTATCGTACCCCCTAAACCCTAAACCTTATACCCTAGTATACTTCCTTTTAAGGACTAGGTTAGCATAAGGGGCATCTTAAGCTCCAGGTTTGCAGCCGCTTTACAGCGCGTTTGGAGCCTTTGCAGGAGACGAGTGCCTGCTGCGCTGCGTTGGGATGGTGGTGTGCTTCGTGACGTTCTTGTTGGGGTTTAAGGGGCTACCTTCCTTGTTCATCTCTACAGACTTACAGGGGATGCGAACTCAAAAATCAAAAATGAAGGGTTTAGGGTTTAGGGGTAAGGGCTCAGGGTTCAGGGTTTAGGGTTTAGGGTTCAGGGTTTAGGGTTTAGGGTTTAGGGTTTAGGGTTTAGGGTTTAGGGTTTAGGGCTTAGGGTTTAGGGTTCAGGGTTGAGGGTTTAGGGTTTAGTCTTGCCTCCGCAACCAGTAGCGCAGCCTGGCTTCGCATCGTCGTTGCCGTCCGAGATCCAGATGTATTCGTCCACCAGCTCGTCGGGAGTAAAGTGGAGAATGGCTTTCCTGGTGTCTAGGGTCTAGGTTTAGGGTTTAGGGTTTAGGGTTTAGGGTTCAGGGTTCAGGGTTCAGGGTTTAGGGTTTAGGGTTTAGGCTGGGCAACCGGGAACTTTACCCCTTTAAATGTCTCCCCCTCTTGAACATCTTGCAGGTCTAGGATTTAGGGGTCAGGGTTGAATTAGGGTGCAGGGCAATGTAGGGCAATCCCTCCCTCTTTAAACCTGAAAAAGGTTCTAAGATGGCTTGAGTCAGGCTTCTGTTTGAAGGTTCTCGGGCTTAGGGCATGGGGCTTAAAGAGCGATAGGGCTTAGGTTTTCGGCCTTGTAAGTGTAGGGGTCCGTGTTTTTTGAGGGGGGAACTCGGGTTTTGGCCGCAGGGGCATCGTGCCCTCCATGTGCTCCCACTTCTCAGCCAGCCAGGGAATGATGATGGACACGGTGTGGTTTGCGAAGTCTTTCCTTCCACGCCCTTTAAAGCCCTAAACCCTAAACTCTAAACCCTAACTAAACTAAACCCTAAACCTTAAACCCTAAACCCTAAACCCCAAACCCTAAACCCTAAACCCTGAGGCCCGAACCCTGAACAGCTTTGGGGCTAGGCCAGCCCTTCGAAAGCCCTCTCAAGAGGCTTCTCTTCATCCAATCAGAGAAAAATATCCGGCATTTGTGCTAAGGCATCACATGAGCGAAGAAGACTAAACGCTCGCATTAGCCCCAACGGAGCTGGTGTGGAAGTTTAGGGTTTAGGGTTTAGGGTTTAGGGTTTAGGGTTTAGGGTTTAGGGTTTAGGGTTTAGGGTTTAGGGGGGGGGGGGGGGGGGGGGGGGCGCTCTCAACATTCTTTCGGGGGCCCTACGAGCTCTTGCAATTTTTTCTGAGCCAACCCTCAACCCTCACCCCCCACTAGCCAACCCTAAACCCTAAACCCTAAACCCTAAACCCTAAACCCTAAACCCTAAACCCTAAACCCTAAACCCTAAACCCTAAACCTAAGATGCTGCCTCTTGTACTTCCGGCAGCCAGCGGGTCTGGTATCCGGCGGGCACGGAAACCCGCGCGACATGTCGGCCGTCTCGCAGACCACCAGGGACAATGCACACAAATAGGTGAGAAACATGACCTTGGCGGTTTAGGGCTTAGGGTCTAGAGGTTTAGAGGTTTAGAGGTTTAGAGGTTTAGAGGTTTAGAGGTTTAGAGGTTTAGAGGTTTAGAGGTTTAGAGGTTTAGAGGTTTAGAGGTTTAGAGGTTGAGAGGTTCAGAGGTTGAGAGGTTTAGAGGTTTAGAGGTCTAGAGGTCTAGAGGTTTAGAGTTTAGAGGTTTAGAGTTTAGAGTTTAGAGGTTTAGGGTTTAGGCTTCGAGCTGCACGGGGTGGGGGGGCGGGGGTATACATGCAGGTCCCAAACAATAGGGCTTAAGTGCAAGGGATCATAATTTTTTCTTACTGCTCAAGAACCCCCCCCCCCCCCCCAAAAAAAAAAAAGCTTCCTTACAAGGGGGTAATTTAGGGATTATCATTTAATTTTTTGGGGGGGGCTCTTAAGCAAATCGTAGTAAAACCCTAGACCCTAGACCCTAGACCCTAAACCCTAAACCCTAAACCCTAAACCCTGAGTGCGGCTGGAGGGTCTCCCGTGGGCCTGCGCTTGCGCAAGGAGGCTGCAGCTTCGGCGCTAAAGGGGACAAGCCATGGCTTCGGCTTGATCTCAGCAGCTGCGTGAAGTTTAGGACTTGGGGCTTATAAATAGGGCTAGGTGCACTCGGAAACGACATGGGTTCGCTGGTGCCTGGGCTGCGAGCAGCCAACATGCCCCCCTGAGGCGGCCGCGCCCGAAGCGCGTTCTGCAGGAGGCGAGGACCGTTTTGGGGGTTGGTCTGAGGTTTGAGGTTTGAGGTTTGAGGTTTGGGGTTTGGGGTTTGGGGTTTGGGGTTTGGGGTTTGGGGTTTGGGGTTTGGGGTTTGGGGTTTGGGGTTTGGGCTATGACCTTTGGGCTTTGACCTTTGGGCTTCTTGGGGCTCAGGGTTTGGGGTTAGGGGGTATCCCCCAAAAAAAAGGTACTCAATATACTCACTTGGCCATACTTTCTACGGACTCCCGTATACACGCAACAATAAAGTGAACCCACTTTCATATCCCAAGGCTCTACCGAGACTACATACCGCCAGCCCTGCACCCTGAACCCCAGGCCCCAAGCGTCGGAGGATCTTGAGCACTCACTGCAAGCATCCTGCGCAACAAAACGAAACCCCAAAACCCTAAACCCGAAACCCTAAACCCTAAACCTCAACCCAGAATCCTAAATCCTGAAGCCCCGCAGCCACCTTCCAGGTTCCTGGCGGCAACGGCCAAACGTCCTTTCACTGTTACGGTTTAGGGTTTCGGGTTCGAGGGTTTAGGGATTTAGGGGTTTGAGGGTTTAGGCTTAGAGGATTTAGGGTGTAGGCTTTGAGCATCTCCGGTTTAGGGTTTGAGGATTTAGGGTTTAGGGTTTGGTTTGGGGGTTTGGGGGGCGGGGTGGTCTCGGAGATTCTGGGTTTGTTGTTTAGGGTTTACTTGCCTCCAGAGCCTAATTGTTGCGGGTTTCTGCTCACTTACGGGGTGTAGGAGGTGTCCTTAACCTAAACCCTAAACCCTAAACCCTAAACCCTAAACCCGAAACCCTAAACCCTAAACCCTAAGCCCTTGGGGTGGTTTGGGTTTAGGCCTGCTCATAGTGCTTGCAGGGACTAGGGCTGAACAAAAACTGAGGTTTGGGGATCTGGGTGCCCAGGAGACGAAACTGGAATGCTAATGATGTCGACATTTATTACCTGAGGCCCCAAACTCTGAAACCCTAAACCCTAAACCCTAAACCCTAAGAACGCAGGGTTCTGCGTTCAGCACGGGGTAGGATCCTTACTCATAGAAACTATCGGCGCAGTAGCATCAATCAAGTGCAACCAGAGATTGTGGCACAACCAAAACTCGATTGCCCGATCGGCAGCTACCACTCCCCAAAGCAAATTCCACCCCCGAAGCCCTAATCTGAACCCTAGACTCTACAACCCGAAACCCGAAACCCCAAACCCGAAACTCTAAAACCCTGGACCCTAAAGGCCCTAAAACCCTAAAGGCCCTAAAACCCTAAAGGCCCTCCCTAAACCCTAAACCCTAAACCCTAGACCCTAAACCCCAAACCCTAAACCCTAAGGGCCGTAAAACCCGATCTTACTGGCTGCTTCCCAAAGCTGCCTCGGCTTCGCGGAGGAAGAGAGCGCAGGCCTCGAAGGTAGAGATGCGGCCTGCCAGGGTTTAGGGTTTAGGGTTTAGGGTTTAGGGTTTAGGGTTTAGGGTTTAGGGTTTAGGGTTTAGGGTTTAGGCTTTAGGGTTGAGGGTTTAGGGTTTAGGCTTTAGGGTTGAGGGTTTAGGGTTTAGGGTTAGGGTTTCGGGTTTCAGGTTTCGGGTTTAGGGTTTAGGGTCTTGCAGGTTCTTAGTAGGGAATGAGGGAATGAGGTACCCTACAGACCCATTAGGGGATCATGTCGGTAATCAATTCCTGCACTACTAAGAACCGGGATCCCTTTGGGTTTGGGGGTTAAGCGATGCAGGGTTTAGGGCTGAGGTAAGTTCAGGGTTTACAGGGTTTATAGGGTTTAGGGTTCAGGGTTTAGGATTTAGGGTTCAGGGTTTGGGGTTTGGGGTTTGGGGTTTGGGGTTTGGGGTTTAGGGTTTGGGGTTTGTGGCTTGGGGCTTAGGGCCTAGGGCTTAGGGCTTAGTGAGGCCCAAGGAGGCCTTTGCCCGCTCCCGGCTTCAGGGCGTCGATGAGGGGCGAGTGAAAAGCCTGGACTGCAGCCTCCTGCAGCCTGAACAGGGAGGGTTTAGGGTTTAGGGTCTGGGGTTCAGGGTTTAGGGTTTAGGGTTCAGGGTTGAGGGTCTAGGGTAGTTACATGGTCCCTTAGGTCTTGGGTCCGTACTTGGGTAGCCCCTCAAGTAAAAGCTCCTCATATGCCCCTTATGCACCCCAGGACATCCCAGGGCCCATGCAAGGTAAGGGACCATATTAAGGGACCATGTACAACTTCCCCCAGGCTGGGGGGGGGGTGGGGGTGATAGTCGGGCTTACAGGACTTCGGGTTTAGGATTTAGGGTTGAGGATAGAGGGTTTAAAGTTTAGGGATGTCAAGGGTAGAATTAAGGGCTTCGTCGGGTTTACCCCTGCCTCAGGCATGGCACTGGAGGAAGGCCGTCCGCCGACCTTCTCCGATCCACCGCGCTTCGCAGCGCTTGCACCTGCTCCCAGGAACCATCCGGGACCAGCCTGCCGCGCTCTCAGGGTATTTATAGGGTTTAGGGTTTAGGGTGGAAGTGTAGCACAAGGCATCAAAAAGGACCCAAGTCACCCCAAATCCGTTTAGGGCTAAGGCAGTGGGGGTTGGGCGGTTAAGGGCAGACCTGCAGTCTGTAGATCCATTGGATGCGAGGGGGCTGCCTCATAAGGAGGTCTCATCGTCTGCTAGACATCCCCTGGCAAAGCCCGACGAAAACGACAAACCTCAATAGACTCGCTACACAGGCCCGAAAGCCTCATAGCCTAGCCCTTCAACCACAAGCCGTAAACCCTAAACCCTAAACTCTAAACCACTAACCGCTAACCTCTAGAACTCCAATCCAAGCCATAGGCACAGGATGAGGGGAAGACGCCGGTTTTCGGCATCCGATTTCCCAGGCGCGGCGTCCTGCACAACATCTCTGATGCTGGGAGGGCTTTGGGGCTCTAGGTTTAGAGGCTTTTAAGGCTTGGGGTTCTGTCTCAGGGCTTCAGGAAGTGGGGTTTCGAGTTTGCGGCTCAGGGTTCAGGGCTTAGAGTTTAGGGCTTAGCCGGACCTTTCGAGCATGTCCGAGGGGCGTGGGGGTGCTTTGGCCCTCCTGTACCCGGGCAGTCCTCGGGCACCGGCCTCGACAGCCATTCCTCCAAGGACCTCCGGAGCAGGTGACAAAGGGCTCCGAGAGTTTCGGACTTTTCGGATCGCAGGGTGAGGGTCTAGTCAAAGGGCAATTACATGGTCCGTGGGTATGGTCCCTTACCTCCTTTGAAGGGTTCTGAAGTAGGGGGCCTAAGTTTTTGGGCTTTGCAAAGGGACCCATGCAACTACCCGTTGATTTAGGGCTTGTGGCGGGTTGGTAGGGTCAGGGGTGGCAGGGTTTAGGTTTATGGCTTAAGGTGTGAGGAGGGGGAAGGTTCAGGGTTTTGGGGCTTTGGGTTAGGGCTGAGGGCGTCGGGTTTGAGAAGTGGGCATGTGGCCCCGGCGTTTAGGGTTTAGGGTTTGGGGTCTAGGGTTTGAGGTTTGGGGACTAGGGTTGTAGCATTATTGACGCGCCAGCTTTCGGAAAATCGGTGGGGGCCGGAAAGAGGTTGTAAGGCCCTGTAAGCCCTGACCCTGCAAACCCCGTATTAGAAACCCTTACGCCCTCTAAGCCCTGTATCTACACGGCATTTACGGCCCATCAACCCATTGTAGGGCATCCCATGCGAAATAGGGGTTTTGTTGCTAGTACCCCCAAAAAAAACGCCCAATAAATACACTCACCGAGCTTAATCAGCAACCACACAAAATCTAAAACCCTAGACCCCAAACTGCTTCATGTAGCTGGCAGATCCCTCCAAGCACGCAACCTGCTGCCGTCGCCTGGCAGAAGAAAGTGTGTTCCTCAGCTGGGTTCAGGGTTTAGGGTCCAGGTTCGCGGTTCAGGATTTAGGGGTTTAAGATTGTTTAGGTACGCTAGGTACCTCAGGCTGAGTTCTTGCGGTTTAGGGGCGCAGAGGCCCAGATCAAACCAGCTCTGTCGCTTCCGCGCTCAGTGTGCAAGGTTTCTGGGGGCGCCGAGTTCCGGTTCAGGCAGGATGTGGGTTGAGGAAGTTTAGCGTTTAGGGCTTAGCACACCATGGCCCCTTTTTGGGGTACTCCACGTTCACCAACACAAACCCTGCGCTCCCCGCAGTCGTCCATGATCCTATGCATAGAGCGACTCAGACCTTAGGCACATCTCGAACTCGTAAGCCCTAACCCTAACCCTAACCCGAACGCCAAACCCTAAACCCTGGACCCTGAACCCTACACCCTACTTAACCTAACCTAAACACACAACGAACTCCTCCAAGCGCCAATCGTCTACTTTACCTGTCAACAGAAAGCGTACCTCACACGGTCCTGCAAGGCATGTAGACCCTTTTTACACGAGCCTCTCAAAAACATTCCTGAATATGATGCTAACGGAAAAAACAAAAAAACAACCCCAAGGGCCAACCCAGTACATTTTGAGATCTTAGACCATGACCGCTCTCTAGAGAACTGCCCTAAACCCTCTGAACCCTATAAACCCGATAAACCCTATAAACCCTAAAACCTATCAACCCTATCAACCCTAAATACCCTAAACCCTAACTACCCTAAACCCTAAATACCCTAAACCCTGAACCCTAAATACCCTAAACCCTATACCCTAAACCCTGAACCCTAAATACCCTATAAACCCTAAATACCCTGTAAACCCTAAACCCTAAAACCCCAAATGTGTCAGAAGGTCCAAGGCTCGCCGGTCGTTGATGATCTCGTCCAGCCTGTCGGCATGGGCGCCGACCTTGCGCGCGGAAGGACTCGGTCCGGGGTGCAGGGGTTAGGGTTTAGGGTTTAGGGTTCAGGGTGCAGGGTGCAGGGTTCAGGGTTTAGGGTTTAGGATTTAGGGTTTAGGGTTCAGGGTTCAGGGTTTAGGGTTTAGGATTTAGGGTTTAGGGTTTAGGGTTTAGGGTTGAGGGTTTAGGGTTTAGGGCTCAGGGTTTAGCAGGGTTTGGGGTGCAGGGTTTAGGGTCTAGGGTTTAGGGTTCAGGGTTTGGGGTTCAGGGTGCAGGGTTCACGGTTCAGGGTCAGGGTTGTTCCTGCAAGGCCTTCCCAAGCCTCTGCGGGGGCGCGCCGAAACCCTCAACAGCCCATGCTAGATGCCGAGCCTGGACCCCCTGCAGAATCAGCCGAAGGCTAGGTTTGCGAGCAAGCCCACGCATCAAAAAACCCTAAACCCTAAACCCTAAATCCCGAAAGCCTCCAAAACGTGAAAAGCCCCAACATCCAAGATAAGGCCGGCACACAGACGACCACCCCAAACCCTACACCCCAAAGAGTCAAGCCGTCGGATGTGGGAGCTTACGATAACAAGGGACCCTAATGGTAGACCCCCAAATAGCAGCCTTCCCTTGTAACAAGGACCCCAACAAGGTAATTTTCGAAAACCTCCATATGAAGTAGGGTTCTTGTACCCCCAAAAGGACACCCAGTATATACATTCACCAATATTTAACAGGAACCTTATATACACTCACAAAAAACAGTAGTATAAACCCTGCTTCATATCCCTCTGAGGGAGGCACCCCAAAAACGAAGAGGTCGGCTCCCAGCACGCAAGGCTGGCCGAGAGGCTTAGGGTTTAGGGTTTAGGGTTTAGGGTTTAGGGTTTAGGGTTTAGGGTTTAGGGTTTAGGGTTTAGGGTGCGTGGCACAGGTGTAGTCTACTAATTGCTGATGAACCACCCAAAAATATGAGATACCAATCACGATCTTGCCCTTACAAGGAATAATAATTTCCAGCTTCTTTTTTTGGAGGGGGGGGTTGTTCTTAAGCAAATAGTAGTAGTTACAAGGCCTTTCTAGGGCTTAGGATGCAGGACCGAGAGTACGGGGGCATGGATGCATTTATGAAGTCTTAATCAGTGTTTCTAGACTGCGGGGTTCCAACGTGAGGAGTCCGAGGGGCTAGGTCGATGGGGTCGAAGGCGTCCGCGGCTGGATTTTCACTAGGGTTTAGGGTTAGTTTAGGGTTGAGGGTTGAGGGTTGAGGGTTGAGGGTTGAGGGTTGAGGGTTGAGGGTTTAGGGTTTACGGCCTGCTGGCATTTTGACAAACGAGAATCGCGCTCTCGCCTAGCCGCGCACACCGTCCTCGAAACTGTCACCGCCTTTTGGCTCCTGGGCTCGAGAAGTGCGAAGCTGTCGGCGAATTTGGATGCCTGAGCTCGTGAGGTGCGAGATTTGAACATCCGGGCTCGCGAACTGGAAAGTTGTCCTCACTTTTGGACGACTGGGCTCGGGGAACACTGTCGTCGCTTTTGGGCTGCTGGGCTCACATGGCCTTTCACTGTTCGGGGCCTACGCTGGCATCATTCTTGATTCGAAAGACCCTGTGTTTCCTCTATCCCGGCGAAGGAAATCCTCAGGACAGGAGAACTGGGGCTTTTCACATTCAGATATGGAGGAATCTAGGATTTCGAGGCCATAATCTTGATTATTGATTGAACTATTGAGGTTTCCTCGGGGAGGGGTGAGGCGAGAGGGCAGGGCAGAGGGGAGGGAGGGTTTTCTGTGTTTTGTGTTCAGGGTTTTCGGGGGGTGTACTGTGACTAGGGTGGACACTAAAGGGGGCTCTGGGATTCGGTACCAGCAGGCGGGATCTCACGGGGTCTAGGATTCAAGAAGATGGCTAGAGATGATTGGAATTGGGCTTTGGGGCTAGCAGAATTCGTATACTTATATATGGACCATAAGGGAATACCCCAAACCCTAAACCCTAAACCCGCTTTGGCTCCTACAGGTTGAGAGCCCTGGTGCCCGGGTCCGAGGTTGGTTTTCTCAGAGGCCCCGCATCTTGATTTTTCAGGTCTCAGAGTTGGGGGTTTGGAGTTTAGGGTTTAGGGTTTAGGGTTTAGGGTTTAGGGTTTAGGGTTTAGGGTTTCGGGTTTGGAGTTTACATGTTGGAGGGTTGATAAGGTTCAGCTGATTCAGACACCAACTTCAGGTCGAGGACTCAGCTTCTTGTGGGGCGTATGAGGTTTGGGGCGGACATTGCTCAAGTCCGCTTTAGAACTCTGCAGAGCCTGCACCAGACAGGCCCAGATGCAGCTTGGACAGCACCCCAAACCCTAAACCCTAAACCCTAAACCCTAAACCCTAAACCCTAAACCCTAAACCCGGCCACGGAGGGAGGCTGGGCGCCTGGCCAGCAGCTTGCCGCTGCTGCTGGACCGGAGGAACTCCAAAGGATGGCATAGGAGTGCCTGGCAAGCAGCAGCTGCCGGTAGGGTTTGAGGCTTGGGGTTCGGGTTCAGGGTTTAGGGTTTAGGGTTTGGGGTAAGTTTAGGGTTTAGGGTTTAGGGTTTAGGGTTTAGGGTTTAGGGTTTAGGGTTTAGGGTTTAGGGTTTAGGGTTTAGGGTTTCGGGTTTGGGGCTTAGGGTTTCGGGCCTGAGGGGCCGAAACCCAAAACCCAAAGTCTGAACCCTACACCCTCCAAAACCCTAAACCCTAAACCCCTAAACTCCTAAACTCCTAGACTCCTAGACTCCTAGACTCCTAAACTCCTAAACTCCTAAACTCCTAAACTCCTAAACCCTAAACTCATTTGTGGTTTAGGGTTGGGGGTTGGGGCTTCGGGTTGAGACAGGCCTGAAGGGCTTGGCGTTTATGATCTATTACTTCTGTGGTCTAGGCTTCTATGCTCAAAGCCTTCGTGGCGTCCCAGGAAATATACCCCAAATACAGACTCCCAAAAGTTCCGTTATAATAAGGGCTCAAATAAGGTACCCTAATTTCAGAAATCCCCATATGTCTGTGCCTCTGCAGCGAACACAAAGCCCCCCCCCCCCACAAAAAAAAAAAAAAAAAAAAAAAAAAAACGAAACCCCAACCCTGAAGCCCTAAACCCAATACGCCCTAAGCCCGAAACCCTCAAGTAGACCCCCTTTTCGCCCTCAACTCCAGACCCCCGATCCCTGCACCCTAAACCCTTCCTGGGGCGCCCTGCAAAGTGGACCTGCTGGACCTCAATCGCCTGAGGATCGGCTCAGGGGGTGGAGGGTTTCGACGAGAGCCGGACACCTGACGGGCATATAGATGATGACGATGACGATGACGATGACGATGACGATGACGATGACGATGACGATGACGATGACGATGAAGATGATGATGACGATGACGATGACATGACGATGATGATGGTGATGGTGCTGGTGAGTGCTGGTGCTGGTGCTGGTGCTGGTGGGGGTGGCGATGGACTTTTAAAGCCCTGAACCCTACACCCGTATTAAAACCCAAGAGCCCCAAACCAGTCAATCGTAAGCCTTGCATGCCAGACTTGAGATGAGGCGGAAGGCTTGCGGGGCACCTGGATTGCTCAAAGCTCTACAAGACAGGAGCTGTGGGCCATGGCGTATTAGGAACTTCGGGTTGGGGGGGGGGGGGGGGGGTTCGGTTTTTGCGTTTCTTGGTGATGGCAAACCATACGCTCGAACTCCGGAAGTTGGAGGTAGGCAGAGAACGGCAGCCTACTCTCCTCCTCTGGGGACCAGCCATGAGCCGAAATACCGTCGCACGCCACCCCTGCAACACCCCCCGAAACCCTACACCCTACACCCACCCACTGTACCTTCAAGGCCCACAGCCTCACCCTCACCCTACTCAGCGAAACCCTTTTGATAGGAATGTGTGATTTGGATAGCTTATGCTGTTCCCTAAGGGTCGTCAAACTACTTCGGGTTCAGGGTTTTGGAAGTTTGGGGTTTGGGGCGCAGGGTTTAGGGTTTACCTAAACCTTAAACCCTAAACCCTCAACCCTAAATACCCTAAACTCTAAACCCTAAACCCAAACTCTAGTATGGTGAACGACTTTGGCAAGGCGCCTCCGTCACGCTGCCGCACACGCAGAACTCCTGCCCGGACACCGGTGGCTCTCTACAAGCCTCCCAAGCCGCCCTGACCCTTGAAACACCGAACCCTCAGGCCGGGATCCCAAAACCCCAAAAGCCTAAAAATCCCGAAAACCCTAAAAACCCCAAAGCCCTAAAACTCCCGAAAACCCTAAAACCCTAAAACCCTAAAACCCCCAAACCCCTAAACCCCAAACCCCTGAACCCCAACAGACCCAAGTTCAAGGCTTGGCGCGAATTTGCGCATGCCTGGGGCAGCCAGCAGTATCGGCAGCGTGCATCCGCCTCGCTGGCCTGCGGAATGCGCCCCCTGGACCCTGAAGCGATGGGAGAAAACCCTTTACCTTTGGGGTTTAGCTAGGGTCGCGGTTCGGCAGAACGTTCCACGATCTGGAGTACTACTTTTTTCTACAGTACTCCTGAAGCGTTGCCATAAAGCTTCTCAAAAGGTTCACCCTGAGCCCTGAACCCACCCCAAGAAAAGACGCATGATACACAGACAGAGAGGCGATTCAGCCCTCAGCGCACGCACCCTTGAAGCTTCGGATGAAAGCCTTCAGGGTGTCTCGTTCGGGGCTTAAGGGATTAAGGGTTTAGGGTTTTAGGTCTTAGGGCTTAGAGCTCGGGGTTCCGGGGGTTACCCGAAACCCAAAACCCTAAACCTAAAACTGGGGGTTTTGGGCTGTGGCTCCGGCGCCTGAATGGCATAGCGGACGCCGGCCCCCGCGACGGAGAGGAAGGGATCCTGGAGCAAGCCCTGTTAAGTCCTTTACGGGAGACATAGAGGCGAGGGTTTGGGGTTTAGGGTTTTCGGGTTAGGGTCCAGGCTTTAGGGTTTACTCGGCGGTCCTCTTGTACGGCTTGCGAAGGCGGAATAAAAGGAGTTGAGACTATATTGTAGCGCCTCCATGTTTTAGGGCTGCCCCTTGCCCCTTGAACTCTCTAAACCCTTAAAAGCCTTTCCAGACCCCCTAAGTCACCAAGAGCCCATCGCGCCGCCCTCAATTCCCCCCGGGCCTCCTCGGCGCTGTCAGGCTGAGGCTCCTCGGGCGATGGCTTCAGGGTTTAGGGTTTAGGGTTTAGGGTTTAGGGTTTAGGGTTTAGGGTTTAGGGTTTAGGGTTTAGGGTTCAGGGTTTGGGGTTTAGGGCTTAGGGTTTGAGGGTTGGGGGTTTAGGGCTTCATTAGGGCTAAGGGTGTAGGGTTTAGGGTTTACACCCCCAAAGCTCTAAACCCTAAAACCTGGACCCTAAACCCTGAAAAGCATGTGCGCTCCTCAATCCCCTAAGAAAGCCCCCTGAAACCTCTAGGTCTGTGAATCGAAGCTCTCTCCCCCCCCCCCCTTCTCCAAAAAAAGCAAGAAGCCCTGATTTCCATCAAAACCTTTAAAACTCTCTACCCGTAGAACCTACACCAAACAGCCCGAACCCTAAACCCCGCCCAACCCACAGCCCTAAACCACTAAACTCCAAAGCCTCCTTAAACCCTAAACCCCAAACCCTAAACCCCAAACCCTAAACCCCAAACCCTAAACCCTAAACCCCAAACCCTAAACCCTAGGGTTGAGGCGCTCAGGGCCCGCCTTGGCGGCGGCCTCATCGAAGATGGCATCGATGCCTGGGCTGCTATGGAGGTGTGTGGGGGGGGGGGGGGCTTATTCGTGGGTTCCCTCTACTAGGGTTTAGGGTTTAGGGTTTAGGGCTTAGGGTTTTGGGGTTGACGGGTTTAGGGTTTCAGGTACCCCCCTCTATACTACCCCCCCTACGTTTCCCCCATAAAGGATAGCTAGGGGAACTGCGCTGCTCTTCCTATTTTGGATACATAGGGACACCTGCTTGAGGGGTTCGAGGTGCAGGTTTACTTACTTCTCCAACAACCCAGGAAAAAAAGGCTAAATTTTGCTACTCCTGCTAAATGAGGAAACCCGAACGGTTCAAAGCTCAGCTACCAGCTAACTAAGCTCAGAGGGCAGGGTTGGATTGAGGGGGCAATGGTCGGTCATTAAGGAGCCATCCCGACACGGCTACCTAGTTCTCTAAGCGTGGTCCCTTTTCGGTTGCCCGAAACCCCAACGTCTTCTAGCGCGGGCCGGGATCCACCTAAATGTTCCTAATCACCCTCCACTGAAGACCTACAATTGGGCGTCTCCTTAAAACCCTAAACCCTAAACCCTAACAGGTTCAGGCTTGGGGTCTAGGGTCCGAACCCCGAAACCTTGCAGCCTTCCAAAAACCCTTGGCCCTTGCTGAAGCCCAGCACCCTTAAGCCGATTCGCTTTGACATCCCCCACAAAACACCTAAATCCTATACCCTAGACCCTAAACCCCAAGCCCTAAACCCTAAATCCTTCGACCTTAAATTTGGGATGTTCCCCCTTATACTACAGCCCTTAAGAGGGATGATAATCGGGGGGTACCTATGATCTCGAGTAAGGACTGTTAGTATAAGGGAGAACATCTCAACCTAGACCCTAAACCCTAAACCCTAAACCCTAGACCCTAAACCCTAAACCCTAAACCCTAAACCCTAAACCCTAAACCCTAAACCCTAAACTTAAACACCTTTAAAAAAATCAGCATCCAGGAGCCGCACGGCTTCGGTAGCGATCTTTGCGCTCCTGCAGTTTATAGGGTCCTTAAGGGAAGGGTGTAGGGTTTAGGGTTTAGGGCTTAGGGCTTAGGGCTTAGGGCTTAGGGTTTAGGGCTTAGGGCTTAGGGTTTAGGGCTTAGGGCTTAGGGTTTACGTATCAAACCTAAACGGGTTTAGGGTTTAGGGTTTAGGGTTTAGGGTTTAGGGCGTTTAGGGTTTAGGGCGTTTAGGGTTTAGGGTTTAGGGTTTAGGGGGTTTAGGGTGTAGGGTGTAGGGTTTGGGGTTTAGGGTGTAGGGTTTAGGGTTTAGGGTTTAGCGTTTAGCGTATAGGGTTTAGGGTTTACTACGTAGGGTTTAGGGCCAGTTGGAGGTTCATGGGTTTTTTACAAGTAGGGCTAGAAGTATTGCAACTATAGCCATAATCTTGTTCAGGGTGCTTTGTGACCCTGCTGATGGCACCTGTGCACCTCCAAGTACCTACTGAAAACCTGACCCTGGAACCTCAACCCACAAGCCTGCTAAACCCTAAACCCTAAACCCTATAACCCTAAACCCTAAACCCTAAACCCTCATGCATGTGCCGCCCACTTTGCCTGGAGGGGCAATCCTGCGTCTCAGCCACAGCGCCGAGAACTGCGAGTGGAGAAAGGCCGCTACCTGTACAGCACCGGAATCCTGGTGCGCCAGCCTCTGGAACGCTGGCGCCTCTCTGGAGCTGAGATGGCAGGGACCCTTCTCTTCGGGTTTAGGGTTTAGGGCCTAAGGTTTAGGGCTTAGGGTTTTCAACCATATGGAGTGCTGTCCACTTGAGCTTTCGAGAGGTGCCAGCTCAAAATTTGATCACCGCATCCAAGGCACGTGCCCTGTCCCAATGCGGTTTCGGGTATGGGGTTTAGGGTTTGAGGGCAGTGACTACTCAGCGCAGGCGCAGCACCAGGTGGAGAGTAGACTCCTTCTGGATATTGTAGTCCGACAGAGTGCGCCCATCCTCCAGCTGTTTGCCGGCGAAGATCAGGCGCTGCTGGTCGGGCGGGATGCCCTCCTTGTCCTTCGGCTTCGCACGTTATTGAATAGTTGAGGTCTAGAACGGCAGTAGCCAGCTCAAAAAAGACGAGAAAACATCAGCGACACGAAGCGCTTACATAAGTTACATGTTACATAAGTCCTGAATCTTTGCCTTCACATTGTCGATGGTGTCTGATGCTTCAACATCCAGCGTGATGGTCTTGCCCGTCAAGGTCTTGACAAAGATCTGCATACCACCGCGAAGGCGCAGCACCAGGTGGAGAGTAGACTCCTTCTGGATATTGTAGTCCGACAGAGTGCGCCCATCCTCCAGCTGTTTGCCGGCGAAGATCAGGCGCTGCTGGTCGGGCGGGATTCCCTCCTTGTCCTTCGGCTTCGCACGATATTGAATAGTTGAGGTCTAGAACGGCAGTAGCCAGCTCAAAAAAGACGAGAAAACATCAGCGACACTAAGCGCTACATAAGTTACATGTTACATAAGTCCTGAATCTTTGCCTTCACATTGTCGATGGTGTCTGATGCTTCAACATCCAGCGTGATGGTCTTGCCCGTCAAGGTCTTGACAAAGATCTGCATACCACCGCGAAGGCGCAGCACCAGGTGGAGAGTAGACTCCTTCTGGATATTGTAGTCCGACAGAGTGCGCCCATCCTCCAGCTGTTTGCCGGCGAAGATCAGGCGCTGCTGGTCGGGCGGGATTCCCTCCTTGTCCTTCGGCTTCGCACGATATTGAATAGTTGAGGTCTAGAACAGCAGTAGCCAGCTCAAAAAAGACGAGAAAACATCAGCGACACGAAGCGCTTACATAAGTTACATGTTACATAAGTCCTGAATCTTTGCCTTCACATTGTCGATGGTGTCTGATGCTTCAACATCCAGCGTGATGGTCTTGCCCGTCAAGGTCTTGACAAAGATCTGCATACCACCGCGAAGGCGCAGCACCAGGTGGAGAGTAGACTCCTTCTGGATATTGTAGTCCGACAGAGTGCGCCCATCCTCCAGCTGTTTGCCGGCGAAGATCAGGCGCTGCTGGTCGGGCGGGATGCCCTCCTTGTCCTTCGGCTTCGCACGTTATTGAATAGTTGAGGTCTAGAACGGCAGTAGCCAGCTCAAAAAAGACGAGAAAACATCAGCGACACGAAGCGCTACATAAGTTACATGTTACATAAGTCCTGAATCTTTGCCTTCACATTGTCGATGGTGTCTGATGCTTCAACATCCAGCGTGATGGTCTTGCCCGTCAAGGTCTTGACAAAGATCTGCATACCACCGCGAAGGCGCAGCACCAGGTGGAGAGTAGACTCCTTCTGGATATTGTAGTCCGACAGAGTGCGCCCATCCTCCAGCTGTTTGCCGGCGAAGATCAGGCGCTGCTGGTCGGGCGGGATTCCCTCCTTGTCCTTCGGCTTCGCACGATATTGAATAGTTGAGGTCTAGAACGGCAGTAGCCAGCTCAAAAAAGACGAGAAAACATCAGCGACACTAAGCGCTACATAAGTTACATGTTACATAAGTCCTGAATCTTTGCCTTCACATTGTCGATGGTGTCTGATGCTTCAACATCCAGCGTGATGGTCTTGCCCGTCAAGGTCTTGACAAAGATCTGCATACCACCGCGAAGGCGCAGCACCAGGTGGAGAGTAGACTCCTTCTGGATATTGTAGTCCGACAGAGTGCGCCCATCCTCCAGCTGTTTGCCGGCGAAGATCAGGCGCTGCTGGTCGGGCGGGATGCCCTCCTTGTCCTTCGGCTTCGCACGTTATTGAATAGTTGAGGTCTAGAACGGCAGTAGCCAGCTCAAAAAAGACGAGAAAACATCAGCGACACGAAGCGCTACATAAGTTACATGTTACATAAGTCCTGAATCTTTGCCTTCACATTGTCGATGGTGTCTGATGCTTCAACATCCAGCGTGATGGTCTTGCCCGTCAAGGTCTTCACAAAGATCTGCATGGCGGCTGCTGGGTTCGAATTGACTTTTGATGATAGCGTGTAGACAGGCCTTGCGTGTCTTGCTTGAACCAGAAGATTCGTTGAGCCAGCGAATTCTCAAGAGATCTATGGTAGCATGAACATCCATGCTTGCAACATCTTGCAACAACTGCATGGCGCGGGCCCAAACACATGGCGCGGGCCCAAACACTTTATAAATCTTGCAATATTTGAAGCCATAGAGTTAACCAAAAAAACGCGAAAAGCTACCTCCAAAACCCTCGAAGTACCCTAAACCCTAAACCCTAAACCCCAAACCCTAAACCCTAAACCCTGAACCCTAAGAAAGAGACACGACGACACCGATTCGGAGCCCGCGGTGCCCAAACATATCCTCCAGTTCATGAAGCCCTGGCTTCTCAGGGCTTGGCATACACCTTTAGCCCTACGTACGACCCTAAACCCTGAACCCTGAACCCTGAACCCTGAACCCTGAACCCTGAACCCTGAACCCTAAACCCTAAACCCTAAACCCTAAACCCTACCAGGATTCGACCGCGCATTTCGGGATTCTCCGAGCACCCTCGCGGCTTCCTCCGCCAGCGGTCGTGCCGGCTCGAATCCGCGGCGGGCCACGAACCTTGAAGATGCGGAGGCTTAGGGTTTAGGGTTTAGGGTTTAGGGTTTAGGGTTTAGGGTTTAAGGTTTAGGGTTTAGGGTTTAGGGTTTAGGGTCCAGTATCCAAGAGGACCCGTTAGCCTTTGGGATCATATAGGGACCATAATGCGCCAAATAGGTTGAAGATTGCCTCTACTACTATGCTTTTCGGTTTCAAGCGGCGTGCCAACGAAACAATGCAGAGGGCTTAGGGCTTGGGGTTTTTGGGCTTGGAGTGTGCCATGTGGGGCTGGTCCCAACACCCTGAACGCCCCAAAGCCCCACAAAAGCCATAAACCCTAAACCCTGAACCCTTTCAAGCCCGAACCCCCCCCCCCAAATACCTGACGCTCATCCGAACCCTAAACCCGAACACCCTAAACCCTAAACCCTAAACCCCAAACCCCAAACCCCTAAACCCCTAAACCCTAAACCTTAAACCCTAAACCCTAAACCCTAAACCCTGTGCTCGAGGCTCCGAGCTGAACGACAGACGCCAGGCCTCCCCGGCTGAAGTCGCAGTGGACGTGTTTAAAGCTGAGGGATTGGGGGTTTTAGGGTTTAGGGTTTAGGGTTTAGGGATTAGGGTTTAGGGTTCAAGGTTTAGGGTTTAGGGTTTAGGGTTTAGAGTTTAGGGTTTAGGGTTTAGGGTTTAGGGTTTAGAGTTTAGGGTTTAGGGCTTAGGGTTTAGGGATCCGTTAGGGTTTGCTCTTGGGTCTGAGAATACTCAAAGCCTAGTCCCAAACACCTGCGCCAGACTCAGGCTCCTTGTTCTAAACCTTGAGAGGTCCTGAGCTCCTCAACCCTAAGCCCTAAGCCCTAAGCCCTAAGCCCTAAGCCCCAAACCCTAAACCCTAAACCCTACACCCTAAACCCTAAACCCTACACCCTACACCCTAAACCCTAAACCCTCAACCCTCGACCCTAAGGCTCCATGTTGCAGGCCCTGGCTTGTGAACTGCCTGTGTGGTAGGTCCCCTCGAGGACCTCGCGCTCCAGCTGCCGGCAGAGAACGACCTGCAAGAAAGGAACCTTAAACCCCTTAGGGCTTCACCTTAAATCCTAAACCCTAAACCCTAAACCCTAAACCCTAGCCCTAAACCCTAAACCCTAGCCCTAAACCCTAAACCCTTCAGCCCCTAAGCCCTAACCCCTCAACCCTAAATGACCAGCTATCGGATTTCGGCCTGGCCTTTTGGGTCCAAGGCCTGGGCCCTGCACATCTCAGCACCCGCAGGAGCTCAATAACTTTAGGACTTACAAGTAGTGCTTAAAGGTTCAGGGTTTAGGGTTGAGGGTTTAGGGTTTAGGGTTTAGGGTTTAGGACTTAGTGTTTGGGGTTTGGGGGTTCTGGGGCTTTGATGAGTCGGCAATGATCGTTGAGATTCCTCCACCCCCCTATCCTCCTCCAAACAATTTCGGGGTTGTTGTGCACCCTCGATAAACCGGCACGGGGGCTGGGGGTAGGGCAGGCAGGGGTCGAGGGTTGAGGGGAATCTGGCCAAGCCCTTAAGCTTGAGAGTACTAAGGTTTCCTATCCTTCTGAAGGATCACTTCATGCGGGTAACCGAATATTCTAAAGCGGATGAGGGCAGCTCTCTCTCCTGGAGTTGATGAGCCCCGCTGGAACCCGAAACCCTAAACCCCGAACTCCAAACCCCAAACCCTAAACCCTAAAGCCTAAACCCTAAACCCTAAACCTCAGCCACCTCCAGCTGCTGGAAGTCTTCGCGAAGCATCTCTGCCGTGACCTTGGAGGAGCCCGCTGAGACTTGCTAGCGCTCTTTGGAAGGGAGTTGCGGTTTAGGGTTTAGGGTTTAGGGTTTAGGGTTTAGGGTTTAGGGTTTAGGGTGTAGGGTGTAGGGTGTAGGGTTTAGGGTTTAGGGTTTCGGGTTTCGGGTTCTGGGCAAACCAAACCCATACCTCCAGAGCCGTGCACCCCAAATCCTCAACCCCTACACAACCTTTACTGTGTAGGGCTTAAGGTTTAGTGAAACCCCCGAACTTATTTCCTAAACGCTCAACCCTAAACCCTAAACCCTGAACCCTAAGCCCTAAACCCTAAACACTACAGTACCCCCAAAGCCCCCAACCCTCCCATGGCTCAGGCCCTCACGAGGCGCTCCACATCGGGGGGGCCGCCAGAAGCGAACTGGAGCCTCGGCCCCGCAAGATAATTCTCAACCTTTAGGGCTTAGGATTTAGGGGCTAGGGTTTAGGGTTTAGGGTTTAAGGTTTAAGGTTGATATAACATGGTCAGTTCTGTAAATAAAAGTAGGGCCGCCTATTAAAAGGACCACGAAAGGGACCCATCGTGAAGAGAAGTGACCATATGGCAGCCTTCTACACTAAACGTTCTGGCCCCATGCCAACAGAAAAGCTACCAAAACCCTGAACCCTAAACCCTGAACCCAAAACCCAAAACCCTAAACCGCAATGTCGACATCTCATGGAGGCTGTGGACAGTCATGTGCGGCTACGGCATGGCCGCGCTTAGCAAGAGCTGCACTACAAGGTCAGGAAGGCTCCTCCGAAACCTTGGATTTTGTAAGGGTTTAGGGTTTAGGGTGTAGGGTCTAGGGTCTAGGGTTTAGGGTTTAGGGTTTAGGGTTTAGGGTTTAGGGATTAGGGTTTAGGGTTTAGAATTTAGGGTCGCGGCGCACATCCCTGAGCCGGTCGTCCAACAACTGCAGAGCAGCCCATGTGGTCGTTTTCTCCTAAATGTGGGTCCCTTTTTGGGCTTAGGGTTCAGGGCAAGGCGGCCCCTATTGTTTCGGGGGTACCCAAAAAGGGACCAGCATTGCGAGAACTGACCATCTAACCCTTTTTTACAAATCAGAGACTTACTTCTCACAGGCCCCCCCCCCCCCCTTGAAATCAAATCCACCCCAGTGACACTTCCGGGAGAACTCTCGGCGCCGAATCCCTGCCTTCTAGGATTGAGGGTTCATGGTGCGTGGTGTTTTGGGCTATATAACCTTCGGCTACGTTTTAGGATTTAGGGTTTAGGGTTTAGGCCTCGGGCCGAGGGTTCTCTCTTAGGGCATGAACATTCTGAGTCAGCGGCTGCTCCGGCGTGAAGGCTTCGATCACGACGACACCTCTCGCGACCACATAGGGTTTAGGGGTTTAGGGGTTTAAGGGTTTACGGGTTTAGGGGTTTAGGGGTATAGGGTACAGTATAGTTTAGGGTTTAGGGTTTAGGGCTGCAAGTACAGCCTGCCCAATGGCCCAAGCAGCGCACCAACAGACGGATTTCTACAACCCAAGAACCCAAGGCCAAGAACCCTTGAACCCTTGAACCCATGAACCCCCAAACCCCAAACCCCATACCTCAAACCCCAAACCCCAAACCCTAAACCCTTCTTCCCCCCCCGACCCACCACATTGGAAACCTCCAGGACGCAGCGCCTCCGCCGAGTCGCGGTGCACCTCTAAGGATTTGGAGTGGCTGAGGGAACTAAACTGCCCCCAAACTGCCCTAAACTGCCCCAAATCCGAAACCCTAAAACCTTAGGGCCTGCAAGTTGCCAGGTCTTTCGGGCTGAAAGGTTGTGCAGTTAGGTGTTTTGTCCGGGGTGTCGGGTTGAGGGTTTAGGGTTTCCAAACCCTAAACCCTAAACCCTAAACCCTAAACCCTAAACCCTAAACCCTAAACCCTAAACCCTAAACCCTAAACCCTAACCCTAAACCGGCTTCGAGTTCAGGCCCAACTCCGCCTTCCGGCGCAGGTCCGGCGCCAGATGGCAGAAGATGGAGACGACGGCGTCCCAGGCTCAGCTTTTTTGGGCTGTTTTGAGATGCTGTAGGGTGTAGGGTTCAGGGTTTAGGGTTTAGGGTTTAGGGTTAGGGTGTTTAGGGTGTTTCGGGTGTTTCGGGTGTTTAGGGTGTTTAGGGTGTTCAGGGTGTTTAGGGTGTTTAGGGTGTTTAGGGTGTTTAGGGTGTTTAGGGTGTTTAGGGTGTTTAGAGCTTTGCGGGGGGTTACGGTGTTTAGCGGTTCTGCGGAGGGAGGGAAGGGCGGTGGCGGGGGGGGGGGGGGGGGGGGCATTCTACAAGTTGCTTAAGAACCCCAAGAGAATAACGAATAACAAATATAATCCCTAAATTACTCTTATAAGGAAGAATACTTATTGTCATTTTTGTGTTTTTTGGAGGTTCTTAAGCAATTAATAGAAATTGGCTTTGCCTAAATGAAATTGGGGGGCGGGGGTCCGAGGGTCTTCTCGGTGTCAGGAAGGCTCTTTAGGTTTCGGGCTTTCGGGATGCAGGGTTTGGGTTTTAAGGTTTCAGGGATTCTGGCGTTGGGGTTGGGCGATTTCGGGTTTTGGGGCTAAGAGATACAGGCTCCGGGGCTTTGCAGGGGCTGATCGGAGGCGGGAAACGTTTCTTCCTGGGTCAAGAGCGCACCTGCAGGATCTTAACATCTAACAGCCGAGTCTCCAACTAAGCCCAGAACCCTTTCAGCCTAATCGGGCCCAAAAAACACGGAGCCCTTACGAAGTGTTAGGGCTGTAAACCCTTCCTCATGATGGTCCTAAGGGCTTAAGCTCTAAAACCTTGGGATGATCCCCCTTATACTAACACTCCAAACTAGGGACTATGGTACCCACTACTAGAACCCCTATGAAGGACTGTTGCCCTAAACCCCAAACTCTAAACCCTAAACCCTAAACCTTAAACCTGTCTGTAACAGGGGGAGCATCCCAATCTCAACCCCCCAAAGCATCCAAGCCCGATTTAAGCGGCTCGGCCCCAGTCAGCTACTGCCCATGTGGTAGTCCGCGAGGTCCGAGCCCACCTTAGGAAGTCGTTAGGCTTTAGGGTTTAGGGTTTAGGCTTTAGGGTTTAGGGTTCAGGGTACAGGGTACCGGGTACAGGGTGTAAGGTTGGGGGTTTAGGGTTTGGCGTTTGGGTGGCTTAATCTGCTGCGCGGACCCTTCCGGGAAAAAAAAACTCGAAGACGTATTTCCCAAACCCTAAACAGCAAACCCCAAACCCTAAACCCTAAACCCTAAGCCCTAAGCCAAAATCCTAAACCCTAAACCCAGGAAAGCTCAGCTGCCCTCCGTTTTGATTCGCACGCTGCACTCAGCCGCCAGGCGCCGGGCCTTACGTTGGCACGGTGGCTCAAGCGTCGTTAACAGCCCGTAGGCTAGTTTCAGGGTGTAGGTCTTAGGGCTTTAGGGTTTAGGGTTTAGGGTTTTAGGGTTTCGGGTTCAGGCCTTGCAGGGTTATCTGGTCTAGGGCTGACAGGGTGATAGGGTTTAGGGCTTAGGGCTACGGCTTGTTGCTTCTAGGGTTATAGGGTTCTGGGGTTTATGGGGAAGGCTTATAGGGTTTTAGTAATTATGGGGTTATAGAATTTAGGGCTTATAGGGTTAGGGTTCGGGAGGCTGTTCCTAGGTCTGCCCCGAACAGCGCCCAGAACTGGCATCTTCCATGTCGCCCTAGACCATAAGCCCCAAAGCCCTTTGAACCCAAAACTCTAAACTCTAAACCCTCATCCGATCCGATCTCCTTACTCCTTTCAGGGTACTTCACAGCTAGTCCCAAAAGCCTGAACCAAGCCAAAACCCTGCGGGTCCCAACTTCTTGGATTTGGGGCTGGCGGCTCAGGGTTTCGTATCCGTGTCATTGAAAAGGTGGGGGGGGGGGGGGGGGTTAAGATAGCCCTAAAGCCTAAATCCTAAACCCTAAACCCTACTACCCTAATACCCTAATACCCTAAACCCTTAAACCCCCAAACATCCCCAAACCCTCAGGTTAAACATCCCTAAACCCTAAATCCTAAACCCTGAACCCTAAACCCTAAACTCCTAAACATCCCTAGACCCTAAGGTTAAGGGTTGAGGACCCACCGCAGAAGTTATGTGCCAGTCGCAGGCCTTCGCCAAGCCCATCTTCGAGGAGTCGACAGCCGTGCAGCTGAAACCTGGTTTAGGGTTTAGGGTTTAGGGTTTAAGGTTTAGGGTTTAAGGTTTAGGGTTACCCGAAACCCGACACCCTAAACCCCTGAACCGTGTGACCCGACGACCACACCCTTGAACCCCTCAACCCGAAAAAACTTCAACCCGAAGACTCCTAGTCTTAGACCAGTAGCCTTAGACCCCTAAACCTCGAGCCCCTAAACCCATAAACCCTAAAGCCCTAAGCCCCTAAATCCATATACCCTGAAGCCGCGAAGCCCCTAAACCCAAAACCCTATCCGAGGGCTCAAGAGCCAGCCTTCCCTCCAACTAACCCAGGCTTAGGGTTTAGGGTTTAGGGTTTAGAGTTTAGGGTTTAGGGTTTGGGGTTTAGGGTTTAGGGTTTACTCCCGCAGCCCCTATCAACCTTCGACGGCTTGGGGCTGTGGTTTAAGGTTAGGTCTTCGGGCTTGCAGGGAGGGAAAGCTCGACTACCAAGACCCCTACAAAGCCTGCGCCCACATTGCCCACAAGCCCAAAACGTACGCGGGAACCATTAGAACCTGAACTGCTCCCTCAGATCACGGTTCCTTGGTGTGTCCAGACTGCTGAAGATCATAACCCTAAACCCTAAACCCTAAACCCTAAACCCTAAACCCTAAACCCTAAACCCTAAACCCTAAACCCTAAACCCTAAACCCTAAACCCTAAACCCCAAGCCCTAATGGCTCGAGGGTGCCAGACCGCAAACCAATCACGACTCTCGGCTCTGATGAAACTACTACATGATCATAGGTTTTAGGGTTTAGGGTTTAGGGTTTAGGGTTTAGGGT